AAGATCAGAAAAATAGAAACGTTATCAAACAGACTCCAAGTGTCTCGTGAGGTGTTTTTCACTAGAAAAAATTGCCATGTCAGAAGTGGGGCACGGGTGCCTAGTGTCACATCTCCATGTGTACAAGTCAAAAAAGGATTGTTCCTAACTTTTTATAGGCTTTGTCCATAATTATAAACTCCTCTTCCTTTTTTAGAATAAATGACCCCATGAATGCATTTTCAAGATGATGGTACTCCAAAATTTAATGTCAATTAGTTAGTTCATATCTTTCATGATTCATTCTGTGAGGTTGTTGGATTTTCAGTTAATTGTATTAGTTTTATTAGCTAGTATAGTGTTATTATAAGGACCCACGTTAAGGTGGATGGGATGAGAGATTGATGGGATTTTAATTAGCAAATAATTGATGCACAATTGCATTTGAACACCACAAAGTCTCACTACTTTTTCCTTGAGGAAAACGTGGTTGATTGAAGTTCTCAAATAAACGATCTATGTTTCAGTCAAGCAATTAATCAAATAATCATCCATCTATGATAAAATCGAATCATGGTCTAAGATGACTAGACCGCCACGTCAGCGTATTCTGACGAAAATTAACCAGAATGACTATATTGGAATTTTGCATAAGTTTTGGGACAAAATTATTAAAATTTGAAATGTTTATGACTGAATTGACATCCATTTAATAGATTTATGACTTATGCGGTAATTTTCCCTAGATTTGTTGTTTGGACTAGTATGGCGTCTTCATCATAGGATTGGAACACGTATCTATCTAACTCTACTTCTCCCTAGATCAACTAGTAACCGTGTTAGATAAATTAGATTTTAAAATATGACATCATCCACTAGTTTAAACTTTTAAAACAATTGACGGTGATCCAATAAAATCTTACGGACAACTCTTTATTGTTCTCATAGGAGTCCATTGACCCCATTGAGCTGATTCCCTTTTACGTTATTTAAGTACTGAAGTTTTTAATTTCTCAATGCTACCCATTAGATTTTATATTTTGACCCCATTGTAATCAACTTATTCCTGTTCTTACGTGATAAAAAGCTCAAGTAACATGTCGAAAGTGCCCCCAAAGTTTAAGGCCTATTAAGTATTAACTTTAAATATGGGAATCAAAAGACAAAAGAATGAGGACAAATGATTAGGAAATAAACATGGTTACTCATTAGTTTTGGTTATTGGTCAAATCCTTCCTTCACGTCAAAACTTTGAAGTGTTATAAGGCAATGAATAAACACTATAGGAATCTTGCCTATTTCCCCTGTTCTCTCGGAAGAGCTTCCCTCTATCCGACGGGGTAGCTTCGTTTCTGTAAAACCCTAACTGCCTCACTGCATCCCTTAAGGCAACAATGAAGTCATTTCCTGTTCAGTCACTACAAATCATTAAACATCTATAGAATTCCAAATCTGCAATCACTAAACATCCACCAAAAACCCTTTCTCCTGTTGGAGTTGACGAATACTTCGGGGACCCTTGTTTTTCACACCGAGTACGCCCACGTGAGCTTAGGGAAACTGAAGTGTTATCCGACGACATGTGATCTCTGCGTGCGGAATGGGGGGGTTCGGGGGCAGCGCCCCCGACACGGGTGCCCCCCTGCCCGGTCAGCGAGCGGGGGTTCGGGGGCAGCGCCCCCCGACGGCTGCCCCGCTCGCCGGTGAGCGGGTGGGGGCTCGGGGGCAGCGCCCCCGAAACCTCAACGGGTTTGGGCTGGCCTGTATGGTGCGAAATTAAGAGATTTCATATAGTTTTAGGTTTTGGGCCCGTTTGGGGCATATATAAATTTTGCTCGTTTTTCTGATCATTGTAACGAGTTGAGTGGCTGTAAACCGAAAACATAGTGAAATCTCTTTGCAGGACGTAGCCCTAATCGAGGGTGAACCTGGGTAAATTCGTGCATCGTCTATTTTCTCTGTTTTCTGCGTGATCGTTCTGTTTCGGTTCTCGATACGTCCCTTCATCTCCCCTTTTGACCTCCTACACATAAATAGCTTGAAACGCCTTCGTCTAACCCTAGAGTCCGTCCTGGAGCTGGGAATCCATTGCGAAGGGTAAGCTAATTTCGCTTGGTCCTATGCTGTAAACTCCAGTAGTTTGCACTTCAAACCATCACCATGGAGCCATATGACAATTCAGACCAGAGGCTGGCCCTTCTCTGCAAACGATTAGGAAGAATATGGTCAGATTAAGCTACTAAAAATGTGGAAGAAATTGTTTCATCAGTGAAAGCAAAGGATGGTCGTTTAACTCTGATAGGGAAGCTTCTCAAAAACCCTAAAATCAATTTTCAGGCCTTCCAAAACACTATGAGGAGAGCATGGCGCATGGAGAATGCTGATTTCACCCCATTAGAGGAAGGTATTTTTGCCATTACTTTTGACTCTGAAGCTGCGAAGAAAAGAGTGATGGACCAAGGTCCATGGTCCTTCAAGAATAATCTCTTGATTGTAAAGCACTGGGCACCAAATACCACAGCCTTATGCTACAATTTTGACTCGTGTGATTTCTGGGTACATATTCTTGGGATTTCTTTTGAGTGGATTTCTGTGGAACTAGTTCGTGGTGTAGCTGGAGATATAGGGCAGGTGCAAGAAGCTAAAGTGGAGACTAAGAGTACGGTGTCCTGTGGAAGGGCGAGAGTGACTTTGGATTTGAACTTACTTCTGCAGTCTTGGAAAGAAAATCTGGCTGGACTTTAAATATGAGAGGCTCCAGTCAAGTTTTATTTATTTTGACATTTCATCCCATTCTAATTTAAGAATTTCGAACTCCTTGATTTAAGACAGTCGCACATTTAATTTTATGCATAACTCACAGAGATTATATTCTGGGACTTGATAACAAGGTTTGCATTAATTTTGCCTGATACGATATGAGTTTTCCTTTATCGTACTTTATTTACGTTGACGTCATTATATATTATTTTATATTTGTTTTGTTTAAATTTGATTGTAGGAGTAGCCTTCGTATGATAACTTAGAGTGCACATTTTAAGAAAAAAATGGGCAAAAGGACACTACAAGTGCCATAAGTTGTGTACGGAGGACACTTTGGTGCCATAACTTTTTTTCGGAACACTTTGGTGTCAAGTCGGAGGAAAAGAGATCACTTAAGTGCCAATTTGACCGGAAATCCGACGTGGCATTTTTTATTAATTTTTGACGCCGAGGTGGCTCGCCGAAGGACGAGTCAGCATGTACAGTCAGTATTTTTTATTTTAAATAATTTTTTTCCAGCGTGTACAGTCAGCATTTTTTATTTTAAAAAAAAATTTTCCTTTATTTTTTCCTCTTCTTTCCTTTTTCCTTTCTTTTCTTGTTTTTCTTTTCTCCCCTCACCGGTCGGTTGCCGGTGGTCGGCCCGGCCACCGGCGAAGCCCGGGAAGGGCTAGGCGAGGGCGGCCTTGCCCATGGCCGGCGAGGGGCGGCCTTGCCAGATCTGGGCGAGGCGACCCTCGCCGGCGACAGGCGAGGCCGCCCCTTGCCAGATCTGGCGAGGGGCGGTCTCGCCAGATCTGGGCGAGGCGACTCTCGCCGGCGATAGGCGAGGCTGCCCCTCGCCAGCCATGGGCGAGGGGCGGCCTCGCCCATGGCCGGCGAGGGCGGCCTCGCCAAATCTAGGTGAGGCGACCCTCGCCGGCGACAGGTGAGGCTGCCCCTCGCCGGCCATGGGCGAGGGGCTGCCTCGCCAGATCTAGGCGAGGTGACCCTCGCCGCGACAGCGAGGCCGCCCCTCGCCGGCCATGGGCGAGGCGGCCTCGCCGTGATCCGGGCGAGCGACCCTCGCCGGCGACGGGCGAGGACGGCCTCACCGGCGACCGGCAAGGGCGGCCTCGCCCATGGCCGGCGAGGGCGGCCTTGCCTGTCCCCGCGAGGTTCACCTCGCCCAGCTCGCGAGGCTGCCCCTTGCCAGTCGCCGGTGAGGCCGTCCCTCGCCAGTCGCCGGCGAGGGTCGCCTCGCTCAAATCTGGCGAGGCCGCCCCTCGCCAGTCGCCGGCAAGGGTCGCCTCGCCCAGATCTGGCGAGGCCACCCCTCGCCGGCCATGGGCAAGGCCGCCCTCGCCCAGCCCTTCCTGGGCTTCGCCGTTGGTTGGGCCGGCCACCGGCAACCGGCCGAGGAGGGGAGAAAAGAAAAAAAAGAAAAGAAAGGAAAAAGGAAAGAAGAGGAAAAAAAAAGGAAAAAAATTATTTAAAATAAAAAATGCTGACTGTACACGCTGACTCATCCTCCAGCGAGCCACGTCGGCGTAAAAAATTAATAAAAAATGCAACGTCGGATTTCTGGCCAAATTGGCACTTAAGTGATCTCTTTTCCTCCGACTTGGCACCAAAGTGTTCCGAAAAAAAGTTATGGCACTAAAGTGTCCTCCGTACACAACTTATGGCACTTGTAGTGTCCTTTTGCCGAAAAAAATGTGAAAGATCGCATGAATCATTTTCATAAAAGAGAAAAGGTACCGATTTAGAGTGTTAGATAATAATTTAATGTAACCAAGTTCCCATACCAAGAATCTCTTGTTTGCGGAAGTAGAATGAACTCCCTCATTTTACTGAATCACTAATTGGCTCATAATAGATTAGTGGCGGTTGCAAAGAAAAAGCAATTTGGATAATTAAAGTGAGTAAAACAATGTCGCGATTGGTAGGGCTTGGGAGAGCCCAAGTCAAGTGCAAGCACCACCTCACAAGATAAACCATTGGCACTCGCTTCGCAATCCATTGAACCCTTTCAAGGGAATAATTAAAAATCCCTTGGTAGGGTGGCGACAGGATAACTTTCACCCAAAATAGTTTATATACAATTGGTGGGATGCGAACGGATGACCTCCGCTTCCTTAACTAAAAATTCTCAAATATTCCAACCGATTGGTTAACGCTAGGTTCCCTTTTTCCAAGAATTTTACTTTGCTAATTCACTATTCATGCTCACTGAGAATCTAGAATGTTAGTAGTACGTTTTTCAATTGGCATGAAAATTTATTAAGAACGAGCTACCAATTGTTGATGACATTGATATTTGACTTGAAGGGAAAACTAAAAACGCATGCATGTTACATTATTTTGGTCCATTTCCATGTAATCATAGAGTACTAGATAATCAATTCATCACATCAACTTTTGCAAGTCCAAACTACTATACGTTAGAGCATTGCTCGCTTAAGCTTGAAGGCACTGCTGATTCCTGGCAAAAGGATTCTTTGGAAATAGTCCTCCCAATCGATATACCTTGGATCAAAGCGGAAGACACTTTCCAAGTCTACTCCATTCTCTATGGCCGTGGCTCTTAGAGCTTTTGTATTTGTTTCATCGAAACTGAGTTGATTCAGAAAAGGGAGAGAGGAAACAAGAACAAAATTTCATTAACGATTAAAATTCTCATTTAAGTGGATTAATTGGTGAGTCGATCACAAAAACGAGACTTACATGCCCTTGAATAATGTGTAAGGCCTATGGAGTTCTGCCACTCGCATTGCGATGTTGATATTCCTTTTCAGGTTAGCGTGCAAGCTTTTGGAATTATTATGTTCCTACAACAAATGATACAAAATGTCAACAAACTCATTCATATTGATAGACATGTGATGCGAACATCGAATCTTTCACCGTGAATATGCCTTTTTGCACTTCTGGCTTTTTAAGTTGCGATGCTTACCGAAGTAAACTATGTTTTGCACACAAACATTCCTTATTCATATGGTGAGAGAAACTAACTATGACACTTCTAGATCAGTGTAGATAAAAGCAGAATCGTCACGGGTGTGAAGGTTTTGTGTTAAACATTAAAAGAAAGCAAACTTTCGATATGTCATAAAAAGAGTAGGTAAAAATAAATCTGATTGTAGACTTGACGACTCACGGGTTTTCCCAGGCCATAATGGCCCAAACGACGCTTTTGGACCAGCTTAGGCAATGGTAATTGGTCATAAAGTCCGGCCAGATCCAAATATTTCTACATAATTTTTACTCTCATGGTCAACCTAGTAGCTCAATCCGGTATACGTTCCCATGATCAGTTTATCACTGCAAAAGTTACTATAAACACACTAAAGTAGAGAGTATTGCAGAAATTTCAAATGGCATATGAGATAGTGATGTGTTATCGTCAATTTGAGAAATGGGACAAACCTTTGACCGGAGAGTGTAATATTGGGTCAAGTGCTTTTGAAAGCTTTCCATGCTATCTACTAGGATAAGTTTACCAACTTTGACCAGTTTTCCATCCTCATCTGTCAACGGGTTGTCTGTGAAGTACTTGAGACTGAAGTCTCGAAAGTCGGAAAATCTCAGGGGATTACACATTGAGGAACCCACATGATAAACCATATATGAAGGTTGATTTGCATGCACCGCCATGGCCACAATCATGGCGTTTACCACCATATCAACCGGTATCTGCAAAAGAAGTTTTATGTAGTAAAACTTAAAGGCACCGAGAGCAGAGGCGAGGCTTGACATATAAATGCGCAAATTTGGGCAAGGTACTTAAATGAGAAAACCAGGTCAGGCTAGAATACTTCTATGTTAATTTTACGTTATATGTGTGGATTTGGGCAGTACATCATTTGGGTTTAAACCTTTGGGCTGCCCGCCCAATGATCACCTTTAATTGAGAACACACGATCCACCATTTGTTATACAAATATCGTTACCTCGCCATGGACATTATTAATAAGGATTCATCTCTTTTTCCCATCATTTCCCCTTTACTACGTATAGGGAGAGACTATGACCTGCATCTAGTATATTAGGGCCACCGGGGATGGATGATTTAACCTGTATACTCTAACCATGCTCCTAAGCTTTTTACTGCGCACTGTTCATGAACCTAGTGTTATGCTAGTCAAAGTATAGGTTGGTTATCGAAAACTGATGTTTGCCTTCTTAAATGAAAAATCCTAGCTTATGTCATGTTCCTAAAACACACACCTGTCAATTCTCGGATTCACTAAGCTAACATTAAGTATCTTCAATTCTCGGAGAAACTTTAATGTTTGATATTAAATCGAAATTGAAGATGCCACATGAATAACTGTTATGATAATTAGGTATTACCACGTCAAATATAGTGTCTGGATCACCAATGTAGGAGTTTATTTTTCCTCTCCCATAATTGATGGCGATGTTGTCGATGCCTCTGTGCAGTTAACATTCTCCATAAGAAAACAACTCACAAAAAAAGACTTGCTTCATATACTAATATAGTCATGAACTTTTGAAGTCTCACAATGTACAACTAATCAAAGAAAACATGTATGCATCGAACAAGCACAATGAAATGGCTTTGTCATTTGGGAAAATCATACCAAAGGTTCCAAACGTTTTATATGGTGTGCAATCGAATCATAAGTACGTCACAACAAGTGCAACTAAGCTCCAAGTCTTTTGAAATTTGTATAAGCATGTCCTAACATTGCCACATGTGGTGTGTAATTGATGGAAAATGGGAAAATTGTCAAAAAAGTCCTAAACCTATTGTACGGCGGTCAATTCAGTCCTAAACCTTTTAAGTTTGCCAATTTAGTCCTAAACCTTTTTAATTCTTGCCAATTCAGTCATTCCGGCCAATTTTAGCAGGCCGGCGCTGACGTGGCAATTTTTTATTATTTTTTTCAATTTTTTAATCTTTTTTAATCTTTTTTTTTCTGATTTCTTCCTCTGGCCGGTCCGGCCACCGGCGACCGGCGGCCGGCCAGAGGGGAGCGCCGGCGAGGTCGACCTTGCCGGCCTCGCTCAGTAGAGGCGAGGCCGACCTCGCCGTCGCCTGGGTCGCCACGGCGAGGTCGAGCCTTGCCAGATCTGGGCGAGGCTCGACCTCGCCGTCGCAACCCAGGCGCCGGCGAGGTCGGCCTCGCCTCTGCTGGGTGAGGCGGACCTCGACGTCGCCGGGGTCTCGACCTCGCCGTCGTGACCCAGGCGACGGAGAGGTCGGCCTCGCCGCTGCTGGGTGAGGCGAGGCTAGGCCGGCGAGGTTGACCTCGCCGGCCCTCCCCTCTGGCCGGCTGCCGGTGGCCGGTGGCCGGTGGCCGAACCGGCCAGAGGAAGAAATCAGAAAAAAAAAAAAAAGATTAAAAAATTGAAAAAAAATAATAAAAAATTGCCACGTCAGCGTTGGCCGGACAGCCGGCGCCGGCCTGCGGCCACGTCAGCACCGGCCAGCCAAAATTGGTCGGAAGGACTGAATTGGCAAACTTAAAAGGTTTAGGATTGAATTGGCCGCCGTACAATAGATTTAGGACTTTTTTGATACTTTTCCCGATGGAAAATCATAGCCCTCATCCCAATTGTTAGACATGATTTTCAGCAGAACATGAAATAAAAGTACTTTGTTGCGCATCGTGAGTGTAACTTAAATTATTATCATCAATTGAAAATATAACTTAAATTCCATGGAAAATTGGGTTAAAATCGATATCAAATTGAGAACCTAAAATCATCATTTTAATTATGAATTGAACCATGAAAGGAAACACTAAACCGAATATAGAATAAAAAAAACTAGATTATAATAGGCGACTGTAATTAGTTAATTGAAACTTTAATTGAGTTTTAAAAACTTGATTTGAGGCTTAATAACAAGATATATGCTTCTACTCAAAACATAATATATTTTCCATCGGTTTTACATAACATTTGAGTCTTATTTTTCAGTTGATTCTGAAATCAAGGCATATAGTTTTTTTTTTGGTCGAAAGGCATAGAGTTAATGGGCCACAAAAACCCTACATTTTTTTTTGTACAGGAGCGATGAAAGCATACTTAATTTGGTGAAAAAAATCCCATTACTTCAGCCAGTTAGACTCCATTGCATGAATTTCAAAATTTTAGCGATTGATTGCAATTTTAAAAATGTTCAGGACTTGACTGTTAGTATAATCTTCCTCACCATTTTGCTTTCAAAAGCGTTGATGAATTCATGCGAGGGGAAAATTACCAAAAAAATCATGAACGTATTGCATTTGTGTCAATTCAGTTATAAACCTTTCAATTTAGCCAATTAAAAATTAACCTTTTGACGATTTGCTAATTTAGTATTTATGGCCAATTTTGGCTGGAATTCGTTAACGTAAATGCCGATAAGACCCAATAGGACGTCCGGTACTGACGTGGATAATTTATATATATTTTTTAGATTTTATGAATTTTTATATTTTTATATTTTATTTTATTTGTTTTCCTAATCTTTTCTAGGAAGTCCGGTGAAGGTCGCCGGTCATAGGCGAGGGTTGTCTGACACTCGCCTATCCCAAGCAAGGGCCGACAACCCTTGCTGATCACTGGCAAGGACTGCGAAGCCCTCATCGGCAACAAGCGAGGATCGCGGCCCTCGCCTAGTCGATGAGGCGCTCGCCAATTCTGGGCTAGGAACGCGACCCTTGCTTGTGACTGGTGAGGGCCTAGCTTACAACTGGTGCGGCCCTAGTGAGGGTCATTGGCCCCCGCTGGGCTTAGAAGAAAAAAAAGGAAAATAAAAAAGAAAATAAAAAATTATTAAAAAATTCATAATTTTTTTTTAAAGTTGTCCACATCAACGCCGGCTATGCCATGTGGGATGACCAACGATCACGTTAGCCATTTCAGGTCAAAATTGGCTGAAATGACTAAATGGGCAAATTGTCAAAAGATTTAGGACTAAATTGATCAAATTAAAGGATTTAGAACTGAATTAGCATAAATACAATAGGTTTAAGACTTTTTTGGTAATTTTCTTTTTATGCGAGTGCACGAGCAAGAGGGAGACTTGTGTAGGATAACCTGAAAGGGAAGCCCTCGAGCCAACCAGGAAAAGGTTCTTTCAAGGTGCTGGTTATGATCGTTGGTCTTACAACAGCAAGCGATACATTCCAGTTCAGATGATGTCTCATCATCATTTCTCCCATTGCTTTTGTCAAAGTGTACGTGTTTGGCCAACCATGCAGCCTCGCCCTGCACATCAATATTTTGAACCGATAAGAAATGAGGATTAGTTTAGTATGTTCATGAAATTCATTTATAAAATTCTTTTGGTTAAAAAAATCCGGTTTTGACACTGGGGTCAAGTAGCATGATCATCAACCCTAGATATATACTTTACAATTTTAAATAAAGCAAACCTTTGCAGGCCCAACTTCTTCAAAGCAATGGTTATTTCCTCCTCTGAAGCATTCTCTTCTCGAAGCTCACTAATCAATCCTTCACTCAAGAGCTTTTCTTCATTGACGTCCAGTTTTCTTGATCCACTCATCGTCTCACCCATGCTAAATGCCTTTTCTGGTATAACTCCGCTCTTTTTGCCACATACATACGCTGAAATTGAATCATGTGTTTGGTTATCGATGAAATATGGTTAATGATAGCTATACTAATATGATCGGTCCGCTAGATTAGCTTACGAACTGATGTGACATGCTTTTACTGAGTGAAACGCAACAGAGTGAGGAAAATCGAGAACAACCGCAACGAGAAAATCACTCACCAGTTGATACATGGAGTAGCATCTTTATATTGACGCATCTTGTAGCAAATTCCGCAACATGCTTAGCTCCATACGTATTTATGGCTAGTGCAGTGTCATACCTACAAGAAAAAAAGCTTATAAAAATGGTTAAATACAAATCATGGAAATATTGAACGGATTCAAAACTAGCTAATCGATACATAAATAAGGTACCGATCATCAAATGTGGTAGTCGCGGCTGAATGGACTATGATATCGATTTCTCTCCACATCTCGGACCTCAAATAGGAGTCATTCAATCCCAAATTCTCACTTGAAATATCACCTGGAAGTGCATGTAACTTCTCCGGAATGGAGCCTAAGTTTGGTGCACATTTTTGCCTTAACACGTCGAATAACTTCTTCTCTATGAGCTGTTTGGGATGAGAAGCAAAAATTAGACAACATACACAACTTATATCACAATACCAATCGTATGACATCTAAAACGGTGGAGAGTGGAAATTTTATTTCATATATGTAAAGAAAAATTGTCTTTCAAATATTTCAGTCTTTCATTTAATGAAACCTAGAATTTGAAAATTTTATTGTTTTGACAGTATAATTGGTCAATGAAGACATTAGTATGTTCCTATATGAAGAGAACGATTCCACTGTTTCGTTTAAAATATACAGATTCTTTTCCACACTTACAAATTTTTGAAAGAGTTGGTAAGTGTCAAAAAATATCGGGAAAAAAAGTTATCGGTCACCTTCCTATTATTGGTAACTTGTTTGTGACTTATCCACATTTTTATGAAATTTCCAACTCTTTTATAGTGTACAAATTAACCGTGCTTTGGATGGAGGAGAGGTGAAACGGAGAGAGAAAAAAGAACTGGTGTAAAAGAAGCAAAAGCGAAGGGAAAAACCGAAACCAAACATGGGCGGGGACGCAAGCGCCGATGGCCCGATGGCGAAGAGGAAGCAGCTGAAGTCCCCAGCCCGGAGGCCAACACGGTGAGAGGATTGTACAAGCTGCCCCTCGTGATGTTAACCAGGAACGCGAAGAAGAACACGTTAACGATGTAGACCGAGGACTTGACAATCTTGCCCTAGAGTCCATGCCCCGACTCTAGAACCTCGTACACGAAGATCCATATCAGAGCTCCCGATCACACCCACATGAAGGAGAAGATGAAATTGTAAAACAGTATGCGAGTCGTCCCCATTGACGCGACCTTGACCTCTCTCTCTCTCTCTCTCTCTCTCTCTCTCTCTCTCTCTCTCTCTCTCTCTCTCCGATCTACGATTCAACAGTCTCTCTGTCTCCCTCTGGGTAGGGGCATGATATTGGTTCCTGTTATTTCCGGTTTGGAAGCTGACGCAGATGATGGCCAGAAAAAAAAAATTTCCAGAAAAGAAAACAAAAGGACGAAGATATTGTTGGAAAAAGCAGTGGGGCGCATGCGAACTTTCCCTGGTTCAACGAGCTGTCCAATAACTAAAAAAAAGGAGCCAAGAAGTAGATGAACAGAAGAAAGGGAGAAAAGAAAGAATAGAAATGGAAAAAAAATATTTTAGACGGCCGATGAGCCCGGAGTCTTATTTGAAATTAAATTGGTCAATTCAGGGTTTTATTTGAGATATGATCCATTCTATACTTTTTTTATATAAAAGAGTCCTATTTTATATTCTTATTTGTAAATTTCCCTTTGTTTTCCTTAACAAGAGAGTTCTGCATACAAAGAATAATGATTGTAACCTAGCAGTTACTTATCAAGTGAATAATAATAATTTTTTGCAAAATACTATTCATAAACTTTAAAAGGTACTAAGAGCATGTAGTCATGTGTCAGAATATAATGTGCATAGAAGGTAAAAGAAGTATTAGTGAGATTTAACGAATTGCATGTCGCAATTTATTTTTATTCAAAAAAAAAAGAAATTTTTTATTCCTCGTACCATTATAAAATAAAATAAAAAACAGCATGCGTAGCCGACATTTTCCGTTTCTTAATTCGATAAACATACTTCAAGGTCGACAAAAGAAAAATATTCCATATGCATTAAAATATAGGAAAACCCACGAGACGTTCCAAAAGTGACTTCTCATCATACATGTTAAACAATGGTAAGCACCATTTTGTCACTATCGAGGGATGTAATAGTAAAAGCTCAATCAAATGCTAAAATGAATAGAAAGCAAGAACCGATTTTATCATGCCACTCACAATTTAGGGTTTTGTCCGTAAGTTTATTACCTCTTCGTGCAACCGACATGCGGCTGATTGTTCATCTGCCGCTCTAATAAGGAGGAACATTTTCTTCACATTTGGTTGAATTCGGAGTATCTTCTCCACAAAAACTAAGTCAAAATAATAAATACAAACAAATACATGTCAATTGGAAACAAGATGACCTCTAATAGTGATGGCAACTAATAATATTTATGTGCGTCTCAAATAAATTATTTCAGAGAAAATAGATTGTAGTAACAAGAGAAATATACATTTTAACGAAGTAAGCTCATAACCTACACAGACAAAATGTGTGCATACGTTATACATACACATATACGTACATATGCTTTGTGTGTGTGGAGAAGGAGAGAGAGAAAGAGTACTCTTTGCTAGGAAGCCAGTGGCGCCAGTAACAAGTATGGTCTTGTTTTCTAGAAATTGGACTATATCTAGCCCCATTGCAAACGTACGTTGGATTAAACGAGTTTGAAGTGAGATAATTTGGAGGTAGTACTTTCTGCTGCGAAAGATTCGTCTTCTCATGCATCATTTATACTCTCGGTTATGGTGGCTGTCAATGTCATCATTCACTCGCACAATATTAATTTGATACTTGTTGCCATTAAATTACCTATTGATATGTCAATATCATTCCGGAAAACCTTATGAATAGAGCATGCACACGGCCTATCATAACAAGAATATGGAGAGCATTGATTTTTGACATTTTTAAAGTTTACTTTTCCTGCGTTAAAATCATATCATCCAAAAAGATGAAACTATCAAATGTAGGGATGGCACCTGTCTAGGTGGTGCGAGACTCTTCGTGGGGGAAGCGTTGATTGGACATCTTGTTTTACTATACCTAAAGTTCATTTGACTTTTGATGTCATACGCAGCGGGACTCTTCATGGGGAAGCGTTGATTGGACGTCTCTTTTTACTATACGTATAAAAGTCCGTTTGACTTTTGATGTCATACGCAGTTCAATCTAAGGCGGCGTCGAAAATGACGGATGCTTGTCCCACCACCCCGATCCATTTCCACATAATCACACGCAGTTCACAGTGCTGATTGGTGCACATCCAGACTAAGCTACCGCATCACCTGCATCATTGCTCGCTTGAGCTCAAAGGCTATTGAAATATTATCCCACCACTTAACAACGGGTTTTATATGCTCTTTATATATATATATATATATATATGTTGTTTCCATCCATCTAATAGTTTCAGTTTTTAGATTAAATTTTCTTATATGATATCAGATTCAGTACTATCCATTTTGAGTATGCGCGTCCACCCTAACTCTAGAAGAACATTGTTACAAATAATGCATTGATATTCTCTCAAACACCTGACTCAATTTTATTTCCAAATCAAGTATAGTTGATTTATCTCTCTAAATTGAGACGTGCGATCCTTCCATTACTAAACCTTTGAGCACGATGATTAAGGGCAATAAAACTGAATGATTAATGCATTGCACGCAAATTGGCCATTGAATCGAAGTTCACACGACCTTGAAGAATATATAATAAGGTCCATAGAGATCTGCCAATCGCATTGCCGCGTTGACCTTTTTATCCAGATCAGCATGGAAGCCATGGAAGAAGTTCCCGCCGACCATGGATTTAGCCACTTTTAGCACCTTCATCCAATATAATACCAAGTTACTCAGAAAGTGAAAAGAACACCTATTTCGCAGAATAAAGACTGATTAAAAATGATTTTGCCTATTCTAAATTTGTCCATGCGTTGAATTAAACTATTCTTATTGGATTTCGGAGATATGCATATCTATTTAATTGGGCTAACATGTGCATCGATGATCGATTCTTATAAGCCATATGTAGGGTTTAGAGAATGCGGAATTGTCCTACTCTTTTTATTGCTTCTAGTATATGCTTGATACATATGGTATATGATTCTTTATGATTTTCATTGTAAACATTGTGGAAGTTTCTTTACTAGATTGTGTTGTCAAATTTATGGATGTCTAGCTTCGTAGCATCGAGTTTTTTTCTAGGTCGAAATAAGTCATGGGTATTGGTAACATGTGTTTCATTTGGTGGAAAAAATGCTGCTTGATCTATAATCTTTCAGGACATAAATTAACATGGTATATTCCAACTAAGATTTATTGTGATGCATTGAACGGTATTCATTCGGTGTCTCTGCTATTTTGTTGATTTGATAGCTTAGAAAATTCATAAGAAGCTATAGTCACGAGCATTATGTGGAGAGGTTACTTTAAAAAAAACATTTTATATAATGGATATCCAGTTGTATTAGAATATAATGATGATAATTGAATTTTAGATTTTGATGAGACAAAATCCACTAGTGGATATGTGTTCACCCTTGGTAAAGGTGTCGTAACTTGAAAAGTAAACAAAATTGTGGGTGAAATGACAATTCTGCTAAAACAGTACTCGACCTGGTTGAAGCAAATGATTTTGATAACGTAATTACCGTGATCATTTCTCAAGCAAATATTGTGGCAAATGCAAAAGAAAGAGTGGTAGACTCAGGTGCAACCAAACATATATGTAAAAATAGAATGTTTTATCCTCTTACACTCTAGCAGGGGAAGGAGAAGAAAATATTTATCTTGGTGATTCGAGAACCATTCAAGTTCTTGGGAATGGGAATTAAACCAACACCTTAGGCCACTATTCAAGTGGAGAGCATTATGTGGAGAGGTTACGTGTCTATGCATTGTGATTACCAAGTGGCAGTAGCCATTACAAAGCGACAATAGTCATTGAAAAATAATGAAACATTCAATGGTAAAAAGAGACACATTTGGTTGAAACGTGATATTATTAGATATTTAGGATATTTTTTAATATTTTGTAATTCTCTAAGATAGCTAATTTCATTTCCTATGCCTATTGTTCGGGTATAAATACTCTCCTCTAATAACTTGTAATGTTAAGCCAATTGAGTAAAGATGTAGTCTTTACTGATTATCTCTCCCTCTCTTTTGAAGATCCTAGAATATTTATATGGAAAATATTTTCCTAAAAAATGATCGCTTATATCGCTTGAAATAATTAATCAATTGAAACTGTTTCATTATCGACAATAATTTATGTCTAAACACCGTGGACGATGAAAATATTTTTCGTTCATTCATTTTTTTAGGCGATACAACGGTCACTTTTAGGAAAATATTTTCTGAATCATTTATTTTTCGCGAAATAAATGGACTCTTAATTCGTTCATATTTGTCACCGTGTTAAGGTCGAGGGGATGAGACGATGATGGGACTTTTTTTTTTGGTCGAAATGCTGATGGGACTTTGATTAGCAAACAATTAATGCATAACTGCATTTCATTAATTAAAAGGTTAATGCCGAGAAAAATCTCGAACTGGTACAACTATGACAAATTTTCCCTTCGTTAGTTTTTGTTAAATTTTACCATCAAATTGCTGAGTTTGATTACATGTGGCAGTAAACGGGTGTACCAGTTTGGGGTTTAATCCTTACGTTTGTCATAAGTTTACCAATTTGTGATTTTTTGTGGTATTAATCCAATTTAATGGATGGTAAATTTATCACAAATGTACCAGTTTGGGATTTTTGGTGGTCAAAAAATTAATTTGGGGTAAATTTATTATAAGTGTACCAGTTTGGGGTTTTTGGTGGTCAAAAAATTAGTTTGGGTAAATTTATTACAAGTGTACCAATTTGGGGTTTTTCATGGTATTAATCCATAATTAAACACTGCACAGTCCCACTAATTTTATCCTTGGGGAAACGTGGTTGATTGAAGTTCTCAAATGATCGATCTATATGTTTCAGTCATGCAATTAATCAAATAATAAACGAGATTGACTCTATGATGTATAGCCATCGATCTCGAAATCGTATTAACTATTGGACTTGTCTAACAAGTGGTTCCAAGAATTTCTTAATTTTGTAATATTGCATGTCATTATTAAAGCAAAGAGTTGGTTGAATTTTAATTAATTAGCTTTAAGTAGTATCTTTTGGTGGTACTCTAGGTCTACTTCCAGTAGATTGCACACATTGTGTGGGATGACGAACGACAATACGATGCAATTTGTTGTTCGGACCAGTACGATGTCTTTATCATCGGATCGGAACCGCATGTCTAACTAACTCTTTTTTTTTAGTCGGCAAAAACTCATTTCATTTTATAGAGATAAACTAAATGAGTACATCATTTGAGATTCTTTACTGGTTTGTCTTCGTCCAACTTTCATGTTGTTTGGAGTTCCCTTTCGCCTAAAAGCGTAGAGGCCAAGCAGCTGGGCATCAGATATTGGTTATTTAGAGGTCTGCCTGAGGAAGATTTTGATGAGGAGTTTTTCATTGTCGACTTTCAAGACTATTGGCATTAGGTATTTTTTTTATCTCATTCTTTTGGTTTACTCACATGATTTACTGCACTTGTCTTCATAATGATGTATTCTTGTTATACTCGGTGGTATTGTGACTTGTATTTACGATCGTAACTCATTCCTTTTTTAGCTGTCCATATGGTGACTTGAGCATATGGGAGAAAGATGCTACCTGATGATGAGAGTTTTATGTAGTAAATGGAGAACAACAACGCTGTCGTCAATGGTCGAATTGCCAAGATAAAGTCCTCAATTGTTGCTGCTTTATTGCTATGAGATTCACTGATGATGTTGCTGCTTTGTTGCTGGTTAATCTGCTGCTTCTTTTGGTGCTACTCTGTTTTGTGATATAGCTTGGTGATCTTAATTCTGGGACAATTGTGTCATCACTGGGTTGTCTTAAATTCCTTTGTAAACTTTGAGGAGTTAGTTGGGATTTTTGAGGTTCTTGAAGAAGCTATTTTGTATAAACTCTTAAGGACATGTAGTAAAGATTTATTTTTGAGGAAATGCAAGTTGGGCTTTCATCAAGCCCAATTTATTAAGCTCTCGTATATATTTAACCCAAAACTAAGTTCGAATCCGTTTCATGATTTATGGATGGCCCAAGCCTGACTTTCTGCACCACCTCAAATGCTCATCCATAACTTGACCCTCGAGCTCCCTCACTGACTCCACAAACCGGCCCACAGAGTTGCCCATTCTTCAAAAGTAACAATATAATGAGAAAATTGGCTAAGAATATATTTCGGGTCGGGTATGGGTCAATATATTTGCATTGCAAATAAACGGGTCAAATGAGTCAAATCATTTTCGATCCAATCCGCCCATTTGACGGGCCTAGACCCAACCCACCTTTATGACTCTCTCTTGCCCTCAATTTGGGATTCATTTTTCCTAATTCATTTAAATATGGAAGTATTTTAGTAATATAGGTCGGTTCGGGTATGTATTGGGTATGGGTCACTAGATTTTGATTACATGAAAATGAGTCAAAACAAGTTAAATGGCTCAATTTGGACAAGATCATTTTCGACCCGACTCGCCCGTTTGACGGGTCTAGCAACGGGGGTGGAGGAGACAAGGAGAAGGATGAGAAAGTGTGGTGTTGTTGTGCCCGTGAGATTAGGGTTAGGATTTTTTTTTTTTGGGATGTCTCTCC